TCCTTCAGGGCTGCTGGGTCGAGCTTCTCTACGGCCTTGACCAGCTCTGCGTCGTCCTTTGGGAAGTACTTGGTCGCAACAGTCGGGACACCCACTGTACGCGGGATGCGACTCTGATAGGCAGCATAGCGGATGCTGGGGTCGGTAGTGCCTGCCAACACATCTTTGAACAGGTCCTTCCTCGTAGCCTTCAGCAGAGCGCTGTAGATGACTCGCGCCGCCGAGTACTTGGTGAGACACGGGGCCCAGCGCTGGGGCGTCGCGTTCTTGCTCTTGATGCCTTCGGCTTGCTTCTCAAACTCATGCGCTCCAGCCAGAGTGTAGGCATACGCCTTTGCTTCGAGCACATCCGTCTCTGATGCTCCGCTTGCGCTCGTGTTGGAGATGAGTTCGATAACCTGGTTCGCGTATTGTGTAGCCTTGTGTAAGCGCGAGAGGATGTGTTTACGCGTAGAGCCGGTGATGTTCTTGTCGGCGTTCTCGTCGGAGTGAGAGGCTTTCATAGCCATGGCCTGCGCCCAGGCCCTTTCCGAGTTGAGCAGGAGCAGGTGAAGAGCCCTATCACAGTCAGCTTCCAGGATGCGTCTCCTACACGTGACTCGTACTCATTGTTGTTCTTGATATCCTCCGCCGTGACCGGGGCCTTTGCAGCATATTTGGCGTTCTTGGGTGTTGCCCGACCGAGTTTCTTGTTCACAATCCGGAGACGTCGCGACAATTGCTCATGGTAGGTATTGTAATCGCCGATGAGAAACGCCGACTCCCGGTAGTCGGTCACGAACTTGGTGATATCCATGGCCGGGCAGCTGGTGTTGAGTGCAACTGTGGGGATGCGGCTGATGTGGAGGGGCATCAATTGGCGAGCTATCCATGGCCCTGCCAAGCGAATCGGAATCTCAGGTCGTGGTCGCGCCGTAAACTTTTCGAGACATCATAGACATCGGGCCCGCCACAGCCACGCGCGCTACTCGTTCTTTCCTTGTGTCTTTTGCTTTAGTCTCCTTCTTCTGAGTCAGCACTCTGTACATTGTCTTTCCCCTCCACCGCTTTTCCTGTAGTCCTCATCGCATAGCTGGAGGCATGCGCGAGTGTGGGCAAACCCCAATACCCAGTCCTCTTTCCATCATATCTAATAGTTGCAGTTTATAGAATTCCTCACAGCCTCTGGTAATCTGCGCCGGCCCCATCTGCGCTTCCCACAGTCCAGGTGATGCTCGAGCGTGCTTCGTCATGCCTCGAATCCGGCGGACGCCAGCTCTTCCGCGCTCCGAAGCCATGTCTACGCAGTCGGCGCACGTTGCACCCAACCCCTCGGCACCGCGGTGCAAGCGATCTCAGTCTCTCGTCATGGCAGGCCGCGTCCCCGACTATCGAAGAAACAGGTGGTGATGGTGGCAATGGGGCGGCGAACAAGACCCAAACAGACCAGAAACCCCACGAGGGTCCAATGCTCGACTTTCTGTACCCGGAAAAGACCCTGGCGCTTCTTGGACGACTATCCGTAAACCAGCTCGGTTCAATGGAACAGAGGCGACGACAGCCGTACGCGATTCGAGTCCGCCATTTTTCGACAATACAGGCGCAACCTGTACAGGATGAAACACAAATGGATGTGGATGCGGTGGAACAGGCCAAAAAGGATGCGGCAGAGCTATTACAAGGGTCGGATGCAGTCATGGAATTGCAGAAGTTCCTAGATTCGCCGCCACCTGAGCAGCAAGAGTTGGCCTGGCAATTGTACACTAGCATCCCCGAAGATCGCTTGGCGGAAGTAGAGGAACTGCGAGTACAGCTCCTGGACTATCTTGCCCAGGACGGTGAGCCTACAGCACCGGAGCGAGTCCTTCAGGTATTTGATGGGCTTCGTCCAGCCGCTCGACGGCTATCATCACATCGAGCAGCTATCAAAGCCTACGTTGCATTAGGGATGATAGGGCCGGCAGTTCGACAATATGACAAGCTCGCCAGGCCCATTGAATCAGGAGGTCCCAGTCAGGTTCTACTGCATAGTGGCATAGATGCCATCCTTCGACGAGCCGTACTCGACGAGCAGTGGGATCTCGCGTTTCGTGTCTTCAGAGAGTTCCATCGGAAAGCGCATTCCATTCGTGGTACTCCCACGTACCACGCGATTCGCACCGGCAATACACTCCCAGAGTTGTGGGGTCAGGCTGCAAAATTACCAGAACTTCTGGAACATTTCCAGTCTTTCCTGCGATACGTCGGAGAGTTTCAACACGAACTCACATCTTCGCCATCCCGAGAGCGTGATTTGGCCTGCTTTGTCATGGCCTTCGTACCTCACGTAATGGATCGCGTCTTGCTTACGGAAAAATTAGACGATGATTTTGTTTGGGATTACTTCATCGGGCTCTTTGACAGTCTTCACTCTCTAAATCTTCCCACTTCAACTTGCTACGAGCACGCGATTCGAAAGATGTTGGACCTTCCAAGATTCCGAGAATACACCAACCAGCGAAAGATTCCGCTCGAGCTATATAGAAGATACCGGCAACTTTATCTCTATGGGGACAAGAGCACTTCCGAAGGGCCACCATCACGGGTCTTGATCAGGTCTATGATCTATCAGCATTCTTCGAAAGGCGGCCTGGGACGTGTTCAGGATCATCTACACGATTTACGCACCTGGTATCCAACTAAGCCGCTACGGTCTGGTCTTCTCAAGTACCTGATTCGTACGTATGCCAGGGTTGGTAATGTGGAGAAGGTGGACGAATACGTCAATGAGCTTCGATTACATCACCCAGGCGAAGTGACAATCGGCGTACTCTCATCACTTCCGTATGTGTATGCACGACGCGCGGATGTCGATGGCACCATCACCCAGTTCAAACGCATACACGAAGAGTTTCAGATGACCCCGGATACTGCTTGTTGGAATATTTTACTGCTTGCCTACGTCCGTTCCGAGGACCTTGATGGTGCTCTGGAATGCTTCAACAATTGCTTGGACTATGGCGTTGCACCAGACGTGAAAACTTTCGGGCCTCTGCTCGACTTCTGTGCCCATAGAGGTGATGTTGAGGCTTTCGAGACACTCTTCTCCAAAGCCAAGCAGATGGGGATACAACTCGACACGGATGTTCGTGCAAGGGCGGGCTATGTCGAAGCATTCTTAAATGCGGGTGATCCAGAAGGCGCCGAAGCGATCGCATATGGCATGCTCAACAGTTACAAGGCAGGGACACTCCACGGATACCCTCTTTCACATACATGGAACTTGTTGATTCAACGGCGCGCAATGGACCGCGACCTAGCGGGGAGCAGGCAGCAATACAAACTGATGGTCGAGAACAACATCCCGCTGGACAGCTGGACTTTTGGCAGTCTGATGCGAGCATTAGTCGAGGTAAAGCAGACCAACGCTGCTTACAAACTGCTGAGAGTCACAATGCCGGAACAAGGATACCGGGTCCATGCACTTCACTACGCCATAGTGATGACCGGTTTCTTGAGGGAGGGGCAGTATCAACTAGCTGTGGAAGCTCACGAAAGGATGAAGGCGCGCCAGGTTCCTCAAACTGAGAGCTCCCGCCAAGCTTCACTACAAGCGCTTGGTATGGCTGATTCTCGGCAGCTAAAGAGGAGAGGAGCCAAACATCCAAACTACAAGCTTCTTCGGGTCGAAGAGGCTCTTGAAGAGATGCTCGTCTCCAGTACAGCGCAGGAGATTGCACACCGACAACCTGTACATGAACGATTTGACGATGTGGACAGCTTCGATGACCTCCGAGCGTCCTACTATGGCCTGATGATCTCGCTCTATAGTGCCAGATCAGCGTATAAGCTCTGCAAGAAGCTTTTCCAAAAGGTCGAAGCGATGGCAGCAGAGTCTGGCACCTACGCTATACCACTGACCCTCGTCACATCGATGATGGAGGCGCATCTGAAGGCAAACAACCACGCCGAAGTCGCAAACTTCTGGGACCTCGCGCGCACCTCCGCTGCAAAACTCACCAAGACCTTCCACCAAGCCGTGAACCAGAGCGCCCCTGTCCCCGACGACACCTCCATCACCGACCCCTTGATCCTCCAACGCTTCCAAGAAGCGCACATCTCGGACAACCGGCGCCAAATCCTCGCCAAGCCCGCCCGCATCTACATCCGCAGTCTCCTCGCGCAGCCCGACGCCGACAACCCCACCGCCGCGCAAGACGCCCAACGCACCATCCGCGACCTCCTCGTCAACGGCTTCACAGTCGACAACCTCACCTGGAACGAACTCATCCAGCAGCTCATCCACCGCAACCACATCATCGACGCCTTCACCATCTGCGAAGAATACCTCATGCCCCGTTTCCCGGGTTGGCGCGAACTCATCCCCAACTTCATCCGCAACGACCGCAAGGGGTTCCAGTGGATGGAGCTGCGTCCGAATGATCTCAACAAGGCTAGTGTGCTCCCGCGGTACAAGACTATTATCTTGTTGGCGAAGGCTTTTGGTCAGGTTAAGAGCGATGAGAGGAATGGGGTTGGGTATGATGAGGAGGCTGGGGCTTGGTTGGCTGAGGTGCTTGAGGGTAAGGCGCCGTTGACTATGCGGGCTATTGATTCTATGCCGAGGACTTTTGATAAGTTGCAGCAGAGGCATTTTGGGGTTTTGTAGAAGTGAGAGGGGTGTATGTGGAAAGGAGGTCCGTGGTCGCCGCTTCTCTTCTAAATTCTTCGAGGGGGCTGTAGATATGTAGATTATGTAGTATAGTATGATTGGAACGTGTTGCATGTGTTAAGACTTTGGTTGGTTTACTGGTTTCATGATGATGTGTGCGGTTCACGTTCTGTCTGGTCACGTTGATGATCACAAGGTTGATGGTGGCGGTCGTACTGCGCAATACACGAAGTGCGTTCAAAGGAAATGAGATGTCATTAAAATACCACGAAAGTCTACCGATACATGTTATTGAAGGAAAGAGATCATCGCTGGTAGTAAAGACCGTGATTGCAGCACCCAAACACACAACGCATGACGAAAACAATCCTCACTCCTTCATTCCTTCCTCCGTACCGAAAAGCTCTAACCAAGTTTCGATTGCTGCGCCGTCCATATCATCGTCGAACGGGTCGAACTGAATTTCGCCTTCGGGATGCAAAGTAGTGTTTTGCGAGTTGTCGATGTGTGCGGTTGTTGGTACGATTGATGGTGCTTCGGCATCGTAATCGATGGCGCCGTGGGAGAGGAGGAGGTTGATAATCTCATTGTGGTTGAAGAATTTTGCATATTTCAATGCCGACCAATTCCCTCCTGCAGGCATTTGGTTCATATCGATGTCTTTGTGCTGGAGAAGTAGCTTCACAGCTTCCATTTTGCCGTTTTGAGCAGCAGCTGTCAGAGCAGGCTCGACATATCGATCGGACATGTTCACGTCGATGTCGGGGTAAGCTAGCAGAACTTCTATCACTTCGCAATCACCCTTTTCAGCAGCTAATCTAAGGATGGTCTTGTTCTCTGTCGGTAGAACTCTGTTCGGACCTCCAAAGTCTGGATGCTTAAAAAGCCTGTGAAGCAAATCTTCTTTGGTGAACGTAAGACTTGTTGGTGAAACATCAGACGAGATGCAGTGACCGTCTGTCATTGAATCCGAGTGTCTGAGTAGCAAGGAAACTGTTTCCCAGTGTTCATTAGAGGCTGCGTGGTGCAGGGGCGTCGCTGCGTTATTGTCTGGGCGATTGATGTCAATGCTTGGATGGCGAAGCAATTGCTGTGCAACCATCGTGTGTCCATTTTTGGATGCATAGTGCAGAGGTGTTTCCCCGTCCTTGTCTAGACAATTGACATCAGCACTTGGATGGCGAAGCAACTGCTCTGCAACCATGATATGACCACCTTCTGATACATAGTGCAGAGGTGTTGCCCCGACCTCGTCTCGGCAATTGACATCAGTACTTGGATGTTGAATCAACTGCTTCGCAATCGCTGTATGTCCTTTTGATGCGGCTATATGAAGCGCTTGTCTCTTTCTGGAGCAATGAAGCGTCTTATCAATTCCATTGCAAGCAACCAAAACTTCCATGGTAGATGTCCGTCCAAATGCGGCTGCTAGATGTATCGAAGCATAGCTTAACGCACATGGAACATTCCCATTGACGTCTGGATCGCCTAGTAGCGTGTTCAAGAGCAATGCATGACCCGTGAGTACTGCGAAGCGAAGCTTTCGTGAGACCTTTCGGTTTTTGAACGTGTCCCCCAAGTGTGTGATATACGCATCAACGACACTGACAGCTCTTGAACGCATCAGATATTTTTCCAGCTCTTGCGAAATTTGAAACAGTTTTTCCCGCGGCATTTTCTCAAGGAAAATCTCCACTGTCTCGGAGCTGTGGCTTAGAAACGCTTCGTGTATCGGTAGTCGATTTTTATCGTTCCTTATCTCAATGTCTGCTCCGATAGCAAGCAGAAATTTGACTACCTCTGTCTGGCCAGCTCTAGCACCACAATGTAGGGCAGTGGATTGATCATCTGCTTTCGTATCGACTGTCAAGCCTGCGTTGAGGAAAGTTTTCAGCCTCTCTACGTCACCTGAAGCGGCTACGCGCATAAAGTTCGACGCGCTATGTAGGCTTTCATTACCGCACACATCGAACTGCGGTGGCACTGACTGCGTTGTATCGCTCTTCTTTGGTAGACAACCAATGCGCCCAGAAGTGTGTTTCTTCTTTTGATGCTGTCTGAGGTTGTCTTTGCGATTTGATGTGAACGGACAGCTCACATCATCACAACGATATAGTTCGTTGCCGGTACGATGTCGAGCTTTGATATGACGGATGAGGTCTAGACGGAGCGCAAAGCCTCTCTTACATGTTTCGCAGATGAGGGGCTTTGTATGTGTTTTCAGATGCTTACTTCTGTGCGTTAGTCATCACCCATCGACTTACAGCACACTGACTTACTTCAACTTCCCACGTGTATCTATCTGCTTGAGACAGACATGGCATACAAATTTATCGGAGCTCATGTTATTTCCTGCAGCATGCTAATGAGAGGGCCTCGACTTGGATATGTATCTGGTCGGAGCCAAGCCTGTTTCTAGCTGAGATTTCAATTTAGGCTAGCGGTGCAGGTGCATTGTAAGTCCTCGAGGGGCACGCCCGCAGATCATGAGCCACTAGCTTTGTTCGGAATTTCGCCGGCATCAGCCAGGCTGCGCAATCGAGGTCTTATATAGTCTTCACCGTCACGGAGCCTTACTTCTGGCCGCTCTCCCCAAATTTGCAAGCTGAGCACGTCGTTTTCGCCAACAACTCGCTCCTTGTTACGTCGACTGTCTTGCACTAATCAACGTTGTTGTCCTCCTCTACGAAAGCTCCTGTTTTCAAACCATCAGCAATTACTTTGCCACGATGTCGCGCCAAATTCACGGATCAGTCTCCTCACACGACCGCAACGGCTCTTCAGCGCTTGAGGCAGACCAAATCGATCACAATGACCTCGGGTAGGTCACGTTTTTTTTTTAATATCATGCAGGTATGCCTACAAGTCTCTCGAAAAGTCGCTCAGCTCCTGCAACGATTGGGAGCGCCTCAACGAGCCAATTGTCGATCGCGACCACATCTTCCTTGGCCTTCCACATGTACAGGCTAGCCCCCAGTACCCCTGTCAGATCAATCCCTGGAACGCCATCGCCTTCGATGTCTATCGCCATGGGGAATCCAACCCTGAAGCCGGAATCTACGACGGATCGTTGACCTTTCCTTATGGTGGGATAGAGCCGGAGCCCGCCTTCCCAATAGCCCCGATGGCACCCGTCTGGGACTTCAACGGAGGCCAGGACTTCAATCAGTCAAGCATGTTCATCACGCCGGGCGCTCAGCCGATCCCAGCGTCCTTTCCAGCAATGGTCTCAGCCCCGCCAGCCCCGGCCCCTGCTCCTGCTCCTGCTGCAGCAAACCGCATCCACTGTCCACATGGATGTCCAGCAACCTTTGGTCGCGGCGGAGAGTATCGTCGCCACATGATGAATCACGAGCGCCCCAGGTATAGATGCCCCATGGTCGATTGCCCCAAGACGTTCTCTCGCGCAGACAAGCTTCGCGATCATGCCAAGAAGGGCCACGGAGGTCGCAACCCTTTGAACCTCTAGTTGTTCTATGCTCTGAAACCCGGCCTCACGAATATTTCCTCGAGTAACGCATGTCGGTCTTTACACTCTTGTCGCTGCTTACTGGTACACTCGTTACTGCGAGCTTTTGTTGCTCTTTTTGCTTTCCAGTTATGTCGCTCCTTAATTGTTGTAGTTAGTAAGATGCCAGTCATTCCTTAACCTTGCCATCCCCATCGTGACAACCTTCCCCACCTCATCGCTCCTACAGAGCCTCACTTGGCCCCCAAAGCGCCCAGACTCCGGTGAGCCGTGGCGGTGACACGTCAATAAGCCACATAAAGGGAAGGGCACACTCGTCCAATCGCGAATAGAAAGGCTGCAGATGCGAAGGTCCTTCATGCGCAATCTATCACGCGTGTTGTTGTGCGTCGAAGGGCATGCGCGTCCAATGATCGAGTGGCGCGAAGTGGGGTCGATGCTGAGCTGGCGGGGCGAGGGGCACAGTGGCGTTGCTAGCGCGGGTTGGAAGGGCATACGGCTGTCGGGTTGCATGTCTCCTCAGAGTTGCGTCTTGAATGTGCGTCGGATGCGCGCTGTGACTTTCGGCTCATGCATCGAGGCCGAGTGTGTCTGAGAAGTGAACAAAGCGAAATGGCTTTCTCCACTGACCCATAAAAGCTGCACATCTTGGCCATCGATGACAACATGTAAGCTGGCCCATTGATTGACCCTTGCTAATACATTTGTTTGGGTACTAGATATCTCAACCCAAGAATGATTTACGAGGAAGAGGTGACTTGCTCGTCGATACCCCCGTGGCTTTGCTCATCCCGTAATCAGTATGTTCCGAGAGAAGCCCATTTCACCCTACCGGGCAGCTCCGGCTTGGGAATGACATACTACTCGTTGCAATGCAAAGCGTCGTACAATCGGGTGACAACCACCATAATATAGCCGCAACAGGTGAATGGTCCTTACTCCCAGGAGATACTCCAGTCATTGAAGCCAAAATCGAAATCTGCGCTGAACGAAACTATTCCATGAGCAAAATCATCATCCACGCTGCGATGTTCGGCGCAGCCGTCTGAACCTTACTACGTTCTTCGATTTTCGCCCATATCTCTCCCACTAGTTTCAGACGTCCATCGCGTGTAACGTCCATATTACCCAACAGCAAGGCGAGAACGCATGCGCTGAGCCTATATTCGGTGCCATCCAACATGTCCGAGGCGAGTCGATTCCGAAATCGACATACGTGTCCGAAAATTGCTATACGGTCCGCTACCACCTGGTTATCACAATCCTGAATGAATCTGAATATCGAATAACAGCCCCAGTTACCGGAAGAGAAGTAGTCCCACGAGGTAGAAAAACAGTCGTAGAATCGAGTGCTCTCCAGCGTAGTCCATTTCACCTCGCTACTGATACGGCAAAGCTGGCCCATATCGAACGCGTGTTCGTAGGATAAGCCGTTGAAGTATGCGGTGTCGAAACAGAGATCTGTACCTATCATATGTAGGCACACATTTTCTGTTGTTTTGTAAGATACCTCGATAGGAATGAGCAGAAACAATGCCCAGGAGCATCTTTTTTCCTGGAATGTCCATGTGCGGCGGAACCAAGCATCTTGTGTAATGGACATAAGCAGGTCGGTGGCGTTCCGGACTCGCTCTCGGAACCGCTCTCGGAACGTACTGACATAGCCGTCACTCACTGGAGAGTCTTCAGAAGTCTCTCCTTTCGTAGCATTCTCCTCGAGGTCATAGTCGTGATAGAGATATGTGATCAGATGTTCCAAAGAACGATGATCCGTTATTGGAGTAGACAGTGGCGCAACCGTCCACTCGCTCTCATTGTATACTCGATGCATGACTTTCAGATGTGCCTGGATATCCGTAGCATCTGTTTGATCGATGCATTCCTGATCAATCCAAACGAATGCACATTTGCGAGATCTAGCAAACAGCATTGCGCGATGAAAGACCAAGTTTGGACAGCCGATGGGCTTAGGCTCGCCTGACTTCGACCTGTCCGATATATGATAGTGCGGTAGCGGTGACAGGCTTTCCATAGACTGTGTATGCTTCCAGCAGTAGGACACAGTGATGTACGCCATGCCATCGACATGTTCCTCTGGTGTCGTGAGCCGGTAGTCGTTGTAGCCATCGTCTGCAAGCCATCTCTCGACGGACACAGGCGTGACGAAGCGAAGTCTGAGTGGCGTGTTCTCTGGGACCTTGTAGAGTGCCAAATCAAGAATCCTCTCAATCTCTTCATGAAGAGCCTGTGGGGTACTGTATATCTCGTTCAAAGGTAAATTGTCGTCGCGCTGCATGTTCGCAATCGACAATACCCTTGGTATATGGTATGATTGCGATAGCTCTGAGGTAATTAGGCCTTGGTCTGAGTCAAAGGTGCACTCCAAGCTCGTTGCAACTGACAATACCGATGGGCAAATCGTTGCAATGAAGGGAAGTCGCGATCTTGAAACCCAAATCGCTCCCTATCCTCGTGAGCCCGTTGGTGGGCGAACAGTGAGCCGCGTGTGTGTAGTGGTTTCGAGTCCCATGGACGACCGGAAGGGGGATAGACTCAAGGTATCGCGCTCATTATGAGCCGAATAGAGAGTGAGGAGGTGCCAAGAGCGGGCGTATGAGCCGACAACTTTTGTTGGTGTCGCGTCAATCCAAAGCAGGCAGTGACACCAGGAAAGAAGTGCTGTGCCTCACTGCTCACGTGCAAAGTGGGGTCAACCTTGAGCCCACAACAAACCACGCCCAACAAGGAAACCACCCTGCATCATCACGCAGGCCCCGAGCCATCATCATGAAATGTAAATATCTTCATTACTAAAGCTGCTCAAACAACGAACTCCAAGTCCGCAAACGAATGCACACCCAAATCTAACAAAACGCCCATTGCTCATTGCAAATGCCAAAAAAAGACCTAACCAAAACCCACCACCCCATCTACCGAGCGTATATCATCGGATAGCATTAAACTCGTATATCAGGATATCGCGAAAACCAGTTTTGAACGCCATAACAAGCATATGCATACACCATGTCTCCCGTTGCACATTTGCCATCATCATTAGTATAATGATCGTCGCTTTAGCTTATTCCTGCGTAACGTTAGCAAGCATTCATCAAATTGCCATCTCGCACCGTGAAGAGAAGAACTTACGTAGCACCCCAACTCAACCGACTCTTCGACTTCACCGCCTCAGGCCCCATCGCCGACCTCGGCCTCTCCTTCTCCTGTTCCTTCTCCTTCTCCTTCTCCTTCACCTCCTCCTTCTGCGCCGCACCCGCTTCCGGGCCCGTCGCATTCGCAGTAACAGCGTAGTAGCGCGGTGTAGTCGGTGTGTTGCGTCGTGGATTCGGAGGACGCACGTTCGTTGGAAGAGGCGACGTCAACGGTGTATCGGCGGCTTGGGAGCCGACGGGTTTGGATGGAATGGCGGATGCGGCGGTGGAAGGACGGATGGACATGTTCCTGTCCTTGGGTGCGAGGACGCGGCGCAGTTTGGATTCTTCGCGCTTGGGAAGGGCTTCGGGGGCTGGTGTTGTGGTGTCGGCGGATTGCTGCTCGGGCTCTTGGGTCTTGCGGACGATCTTCTGCATCATGACTTTCAGGCCGAGACTCCTTCGGCGGTTGGTCTTGAGCTCTCTCAACTCAGCGGGTGGGACGTCGTGCGACATCAGACTCCAGCGGTTTGGCGTCTCCTTCGGCGAGCTCTTGCTGCGGAGATGGCGTTGGGGAGTCTCTTGGATGCTTCCTTCACGTTCCGGGACTACGGGCATGGGTGGGATCGGTATCGCTTCCACGGGTGGTGCCTCGTCTGATATCTTCGTCAGCGGTGGACTCGGTTCGTGGATGAGTGTCGCACCACTTGAGCGAGCAGAGAAACGGTCAGGTCGGTCCATAGAAATGACACGCTGCCGGGTGCGCTGGGATCCGAGGCGCTCGTGATCGAGCATGAGCTGATACTTTGTGGCTTTGAGTTCGTCGATGGATTGCTGCAAGCGTTCAATCTCGTCTTGGTCCTGTGTGTGGAAGGTGGCAGCGGCGTCAAGTTCACCTTGGATGTCTTTGACGTAGTGGTCTTTCTCCGCAATGGTGTTCCTCAGCAACTCCATCTCTTCGTCCTTGCTGGCAAGTGCTTCCCGTAGCTCGGACACCTGACCCTCCATGCGCTGGAAGTGAACACGATGCACTACGCTTGGGCGCGCGGTCTCCATGTCCTCGTTGACTTCCATCTCTTGGTTGAGCTGCACCTTGATAGCCTCAGCCTCTTGAAGCGCAGTAAACAAGCGGGCATTAGCCTCGACCAGTCGCTTCTCGAGAGCGGCCACCTCGGCGTATAGGCGAAGGTTGTCTTGCTGGGTGGTGTTGAACATAGCCTCAAGCTCTTCCTTGTCGTGCTCATCCTCGTCAATCGTCGGCAATCGTCCGACCACGGAGTTTGCTCGACTTCTCTGTGGCTCAAGTTCCGCCAGCTTGACGGCGCTCTCCTCCAACTGCTCTCGAGTCTGAGTGTGTTTTTCCCGCTCTTCCTTGAGGGCCTTTTGGATCTTCTTGGCAACATCCCATGATCTTTGCAGCTCGGCTTGCTGATTGACAACCTCCTCCTTGGTCTGGGCACTGGCGGCGAGTTGTTCTCGCAGCTTTGCAATGATCACATCCTTGTCTTCCTCAACCTCCGGAGAACTTCTGCCCTTCTTGATCCGTAGCATTCGAACTTCAAGGGCATGTCCATCGTCCCCGTCTTCCGAAAACCGCGGGCTCGACTGTCGTTCCATAGAGATCAACCGCTCCCTCATTAGCTTCAGCTGCGCATCTTTGACTTCCATAATCGTCTTGTGTTGCCTAGCCATCTCTTCAAGCTGGCTATCGCGGTCCTGTATGCTTTTGTCTTTCTGCTCGTTGCCCTTTCGAAGTGCAAACAGCTCGATGTCTTTCCGGTATACAATCGCCTGATGATCCCGGCCCAAGTTTTGTTTGATGGCTTTTAGCTGATCACGGAGGCCAGAGTA